ATTTAAATTTAATTTGTTATTTACTAAATGTATATGTCGATATGTGAACAATGTTTACTTCGAACCAGAAATGAATTGATTGACGTTTTGACACATAAAAGTTAAAAAATAGCAAAATATCCAACACAAAGGATTGGGTTACCAAATGCTCCTTTGATATTTAATGCATAGAAATCTGAATACGTCGGAATTTTCTGTCAGTTAATCTCTTTAAAAAAAAAGAACAAAAGAAACACAGAATGAATTTCCGCATTTGCGTTTGCAGACGTGAATTTACTGTTAAAAAGCAACGTTAAAGCAAGCGCTACGGATATTACGGCATGCAAGCCTGATTGTAAGCATAAAGCAGTTGAACTTGTCTGTCAGAATTTGGTTAATTTATTCTTTAGAGGAAACAAAAAAAAAGAATGAAACTTTCCGGGTTTACGTTTCTCCGCAATGCGGATGTGGATTCATCCTCGACATGCGTCGTTAAATTCAACACACGACAAACATTACTACTCCACATACGGAATATGATCATCAAGCAGTTGAATTCTGTCCATTAAAATTTTCTTTATTCAACGCATTCTTTTGTCAAAAAAAAAAAAAAAAAAAAAAAAAAAAAAAGAAAAAAATAGGATAAGTCCCCAATTCACGTATCTTCGCCGTATGGGCGTGGATATGGAATTTCATTGCTGAAATGCATTATTAAAGTCAACGCGAAGAATATTGATCCACACATCTAAGCGCAAAGCAGCTGAATTTGTCCATCAAAATTTCAACCAATTTTGATTGATCTGTAAAAGTTTATTTATTTCATCAATGTCTGTAAATGTTAATTTATTTATTTCATCAATTTATTTATTTTCTTTATCTATTTGTTTCATCAGTTTATTTATACTGTCGGTGTATTTATTTTGTCAATTTATTTATTTGCAAAAGATAGAGAAGGAGAATTCCCGGAATTTATACGCTTCTTCGCTACAGTGACGCGGTCTCGTCGTTAAAGCGCGTCATTAAAATCAACGCGGCGGATATTATCTCCACATGCAAATCCGAGCACGAAGTAGTTAAATTCGCTCGTGAAAATTTTCCGCGCGCGCGTTGGTTAATCCATTTCCCTTGAGAAATAAAAGGGAACGGAGAGAAACAATTTCCGCATTAGGTCAATTTCCTCCACTGCGGCGCCAAACGGTTGGGTTTCGTCACCAAAATGCGTCGTTAGAACCACCGCGATATTGTGTGGGGTAGAGGTACGCCGATCTTACGCGATGCCGCGCAATAGCATCCGTACACCAAATGCCTTCTCGTCGATTGATTCCTCCGCAGAATACACGGGGGGAAAGCTCGCTCTCGCTCGATCTCGTCGATATCTCGCATTTGCTACCTGCGGACCGAGAATCCGCATTCACGGTTTCATAAAGGACGCGTGCCGCACGTGTATAACAATAGCACTGTTTAATTGCTGCACTACGTAATATTTTATGCACGAATATATACCTGAAAACTTTGGCGTGTAAGATACTGTTCCGAATGCGCGTTAACGAGTCTGAGCGGTGCCAACGCGAAGCTCTACAAAGGCGATCACATAAAGAGTACCTCGGTAGTACCTCATTACACGCACTTTCGGAAAGAACAGCAAGGCGTGACGCCTACACGACCGCTTGCGGTGGGAAAAATAGGCGATGAGCGACGACGCTGCGCAACAGCCGCACAACACACACACACACACACACACACACACACACACACACACACACACACACACACACACACACACACACACACACAAGTAGTTAGACGTACACGTCATCCGAATGGATCTTACCTTTGAAAATTTAAACCCCGGGTGGCACGTTACACAAATATACGCCGAGAAAAATGTTACGATTCTTCCAACAAACGGCAACTACAAACGAAACAAATTCTGATCGTACATAAATCCGAATTCTGGTTATCGCAAAGGAATCTCTGGTTATCTATTTAAGTAGAACGTTTAAGAGAATGTTTAAATGTAAGTGTCGGACTTGCACCTTTCTGGTTGAATCTACAAGAATTTCAATTAACTTAAAGTAAGATTCCACGAATCGTAAGAAGTGTTGATAAGCGTCGCTCACAGACTCGTATCAATACTTACAGTTTTCCGAAATGTTACTCATATTGATTTTTTTTTTTGCGTTTTGGCTCCGGAGCGCGAATTGGACACGGCTAAATTAACGTAACAAGACTTTCAGTCTGTTTTCTTATTCCCGCACTAGAACCTTTTTCTCACTTTACGTCATATATCAATTATATATGTACATATTTAACTGTAAGTTCCAAAAGTGTATACTAATTCAGCTATAAAAGAAACAGATCTGTAAGCGGTAAGATAATGACATGGAAATTAGGAAATTGGCCACTCACGTACGAGAATCTAAGGCAATGACGTTACGCACTAAGCAGTAACCAATCAAAAATGTTGATTACGTCTTGATTACGACTATCCAGGCAAACTCAATCATATTGAAAATTATCCAATTGAATTTACGTTCGTCCTTGCGACAGAAATACGACTGGATAATTTTCTTTACGACTATAATTACGCAGTTGGGCAAGTTGTCCGACAGAATCCCCTTACGTTTTTCTACACCCCATGAAATTCACTTGTCGAGAATACACTTGTCGACTGCCGCATTGACAAAAATGCCTGATTGAAAATGGACGAAGCAGAAAATTCCGAGATTATATCAATCAGAATTCCGGTTAGGTAGATTGAACCCGATCAGAAAATTCCAGTTAATCCAACTAAACATTTTTCTTGGTCACTGAACGCACTACCTGCTTCTCTTCACCAACAGCACACATATACGGAAGATGGGCGACGAATCGACGGGCGTTGCGTCGCGTCGCTCGAAAGAATCACCGTTCGTATCGTGAGAAAAGTTTCATCTCTCAATATTACGACAAACTTGCGTTATAACTACGGCTTCCTCCAGACTCGATTTTTATCGCGCAAAAGTCATGTTTGTAAACAACGTCGCGAGCACTTGCACGTTTTCCGCGTCGAAGTCGAAGGGAGACGGATGGAGGCACGACACGACACGACGCGCACAAAACCGACTGCGTCGCACATTTGGTAAAAGCGTTCCTCTCACACAGCAAAGCAGAGAGCACACGCGCACCTTTCGGTCGATCCGTCTTTGCCGGACAACACTCTCGTATTCTACCGTCCTCGAATGGTGGTTTAGGAATGTGACCGTTACAGGGGAAGAAAGCGTGCTCTGCCCGGAGACAAAGGGAGGGACGAGGGTGGGAGGTCGAAGAGAGGGCGGATCTCACACGCGAGACGCTGCGGTTCCTTATATTCTCACTCTCTCGGGTGCGCGTCTTCAAAATTCGACGACGAGTTCAATTCCCGGCTTACGTTGACATTGACATGATTCTCAATTTTCGATACCATCAACGGCATCAACACGGACGTCTCGCGAAGGTAAACAAAGTCGAAGTCTGTCCCTCATTCATTCATTCATTCAGTCGCAGTCAGTCAAACGGACAAAGAGATAAACGATCGAACGGGCGAACGAAAGTGCAGTTAACGGTGACACCAACCTTTAGATTCCCCGCGGCGTATATAGTTAGAACGTAGGCGTTGGATTTTCACTCGGCGTGATATGCAAAGTTCACCACCGTCGTCGGGAGGGCAGAACACTAAATGGATTAGACGACGACGACGATGATGCGTCGTTCGTGCGTCGAGTAATTTAGAAGAGTAGAAGAACGATGTTCCTGTTCGGAGCCCGGCGTCCGCGTCGCGCGGAGACGCGAAGCGTCCCACGTGAAACGGACTCGCGTCACTCTCTCGCGCTTCATCCGTCGATCGGTTTTCTCACCCAATCGCGCGAGCACTCTGCCGACTCTGCGCCGGCGGCGAGCGATCAAAACAGAGGAAGGAGGGCGCGCCGCTCCGCGTCGCGTCGCGTCGCGGAGGCATCGAGGGGTTGGTGGGGAGATAGAGTCGGCCGCAGGCATTGAGCGGGCGCGACAGAGCGCGAGCGAAACGAGCGGAGCGGACGGTAGCGGCGGTGGCGGCGGCGGCGGCCGCGGCGGCGGGCAGGAAGAGAGCGAGTGAGAAAGTGTCTTGTATTGCGTAGTAAGCGGTTGAATGGATTACGTCACGCGGCAACCGAGAAGGCAGCCAGAGGGTAGAAACGCGCAGCGGACGCGTCCCGGCCGACGGCGGCCGATGGCTGCGCACGCGACACGCACAATAGACAGTGCGGAACAACGAACGAGACGATGACTTGAACAACAGCCGGGGGGAGGGGGAGAGGGAAGGGAGAGAGAACTGAGAGAACTGAGAGAAGATCGCGAAGAGACGAGACGAGACGAGACGAGACGTGGCGTGCGTAAATCCCCCGCATATAAGGGTCGACTCCGACTCCGCTGCTCCTTTCTCCGTCGTTCCACCTCGAAATACGAGGCTACGGCGCGTCGACCGCGCGATCGATCGCCCGCTCGTACGTTATAGGTGCGCATAAAGTGTGCCGGTTTCGCCACCCCGCTACTTCCGCGGATGGACCGGAGGACGCACATGCTCCCGCCGTTCTCTCTCCTAAAAGCCCACGTGCGTTCACATGAGTCACGACCGCGGCGTCCCCGCGTTTCTTCTTCCACCCCTCCGCTCCTCTCTTCCTGGTTTATCCCCTCCCGTCCACGCGCTTAATATAAACATTAATACTCGACATATATAAATGCATTTGTACGCATGTACATATACATTTGCACACGTGTGCGCCGTGTATGAACATATGTATATAAACTCGTCCCGCTGCTTTTCTCGCAGTCTTCTCTACATCCGTCGCGTAAGTCGTATTTGAGTACAGTTAATTCAGCGCTACATTCAGACCGTTGAAGTTTCACCTCGTTCGCTCGCTTTTGTTTCCGCACGAAGGCGCGGATTATCATCCTACTCGCGCGATGTGGATAAAAGCGTGGGGCTCTTTATACGCTCAATTCAATTCGTGGGGATCGCTCACCTCGTCATGCGTGTCTGTCGCGGCGTGCGCACGATTCATGTGCGCGCCGTTTGTCACGCAGTAGCTCGCGGTGGCGATGGCGGTGACAGAGACTGCGAACGGCATATCTCACTCTTCTCCGCTTCTTCCGAGAACGTATAGATATACGCGCGCGGAACGTATGCGGCACTGATACCGCGCACAGCACAGAGAGAAAGAGAGAAAGAGAGAGAGAGGGGGGAAATAGAG